CAAGGGAAATTTCTGCAGGGACAGAAATGAACTATATATTGGTAAAAGTGTGAGTTACACAAATGTGCGTCTTTGTTAAAAACATGTCAAATTGTACTTAGTATTTATTTGTTTCACAATATGTATTACCATGTTAAAAAAAAATGGTAAACAAACAAGTCTAAAAATAGTTTGCTTTTTACAAAGGTATGGGTTAGCAATTTTTAAATTATTTCCTGTGTGTTTTGGGATTGAGTATATGAGAAAATTTATTGAGGAAAATGGGAGCCAGGTGACTATTGGAAAAGGAAGTTACATAATGGAAATGGAGAAAAAGAATGAACCCTGATGACATAGAGCTAAGATGGAAGAGGTCAACATGACTTCATTGTTCATACTAATATAAAAATAAATGCAGTTATATGCATAAACAAGTGTGAGAGCACAGGCAAGTATGAACCTGCGTAAGTGTGTTTCCTAGTTCTGTACACCACAGGGATCTAAAGTAATGACAGAACAAAAATTCATCTGGAGCATAGACCTTTGTTTCTGAACATTATCCACACTAAGAGGATTCAGGACTCCTTGGAAATAATTGATTACAGAGTTGGGAAAGGGGAAGGACGAGATAAGGCTAGAACATTTTGTTGTTTCAAAAAAAGGTAAATGCTCAAAGGATAGCACAATGTTGAAAGGACACAGGGGTCAACTGAAAGGCTCCCTAATAGGCAAATCTGGGACGACTCCAGCATCAAAATAAATGATAACAGTAATGAATTTATCATCCATTGAATTAGAGTCTATTACTAAATGGAATGCATGATCCTGAGTTGGTTTCTGAACTGGGGAAAATGTTTGCTACAGAAGACATCAAGACAACTAACAGATTTGAATATGATCTGAAGATTAGATAATATTGTATCAGAAGCAAATTCCCTAAGTTTAAACACTACACTGTGGTCTATAAAAGACTATCCTTGTTCTTAAGAAATGCATATCAAAGTATATAGGGGTAAATGGGCATGTCTCCAACTTACCTTCAA